TCTCTCTCCAGTCATCAAGGCACTACCAAGTCAGTTCCACTAAATACTCCTTGATTTGTGTCTGACTCTTCTAATCCAGTGTTTTTTAAAAGTTCGGGTCACGACCCAATACTGGGTCATGGCATGTAAGGCACTGGGTCGCTCTAGTCAGCACTGCCGACAGGGGGCTGGTCTACACTGGGGGATGGGGGGAAATCGATCCAAGATACGCAGCTTCAGCTACGTGAATAGCGTAGCTGAAGTCGAAGTATCTTGGCTCGAATTACCTGGGGTCCACACGGCACGGGATCGACGGCCGCGGCTCCCCCGTCGACTGCACTACCGCCGCTCGCTCTGGTGGAGTTCCGGAGTCGACGATGAGCGCGTTCGGGGATTGATATATCGCGTCTTAACGAGACGCGATATATCCATCCTGGATAAATTGATTGCTACCTGCCCAGCTAATGCAGGCTAGTGCCTACCTGTTCCAACACAGTGCTGTACCCTGGAAGCAGCCAGCAGCGGGTCCAGCTTCTAGGCGGGGGGGCCATGGGGCTCCACGTGCTGCCCCCGCCCCAAGCACTGGCTCCACACCCGGCCAATGGGAACTTGGGGTGGGGAGTGGTGCCTGCGGGTGAGAGCCACGCGGAGCCACTTGCAGGGTCAAGCCCTTTAGAGAAGTGATGAATGAGAGGGACATGCAAGAATACCAAATGGTACCGTTAAGGTAAATTGGGCATTTTTATTTGCCATCTGGGACTTCCAATTAAACTGGAAAACAACAAATTTAAAATTGATAAAAGAAAAGTTTTTACACAGTGCCTAATTAACCTGTGGAAGTCACTGCTGCCAAGGTACCAGATACCGTTTTATTTATCTTACTCTGAAGTATCTGGTGCTGTTAGTAAGAGACAGAATGCTGGCTTAGATGGATCACGTTTCTGATCCATTATATCAGTTCTAATGTTCTTGAGTAGTCTGACCACAATTATATACTTTTTCTCAAAATTAACAGTGGTGAATCAATCCTGAATTTTCTATATAACTTGATTTGTATTGAGTTACTTGCAAGTAAAAATAAAACAGAGTCCATGCACAGAATTACATAATTCCCAAGAGAGAGAAGGTGGGTGAGGGTAATATCTTTTTTTGGGCCAACTTCTGTTGGTGAAAGAGACAAGCTTGCGAGCACACACAGAGCTCTTCTTCATTTCTGGGATAGGTATTCAGAATGTCAGAGCTAAATACAAGGGAGGAACAGATAAGGAGTTATCACAAGATACCATTTAAAGTGAAGTGGGCAATTTACAATCCTAGAAGAAAGAAGGTTTACTAGGATACAGTTTGTTGTAATGAGCCGTAAATCCAGAGTCTTTATTAAGTCCATAATTTTTAGCATCTAGCAGAATTATGAATGAAAGTTCCCAGGCTCGTCTTTTGAAGGTGTCGTGCAGGTTTCCTTTGAGGAGGAGGACTGAGAGGACACATACGGAGTGATCGTTCTGTGAAAATAGTTTTTGTCTGTTATCATGTTTCTGTGTGAACTCAGTTCATTGGAGAGTGTAGTGATTGCTTTTCCCTTCAAAAAACAAGCCTGATAACTTGCATTCATAATTCTGTTAGACACTAAAAATCATGGACTTAATAAAGACACTGGATCTTGAAAGGTGTGTTGTGGGGCATATTGATCATCGTAGCAGTGGGACATATGTCTGCAGATTTTGCACCTGTTGTTATAGCAGGGGCTAGTGTCGCTTTGAGTTGGTGTGCCCTGGTTTGTGGGGAGCTTGCTTCTGTTGAACTTTCGAGGTTAGAGGATTGTTTGGAGGCTAGAAGAGGCAGTTCAGGAAAACTTATTCCAGGATGTGGTCCCCATCAAGTGTGGGTTGTAATTGCTTAATGATTCCCTGTGTGGGCTCCAGTGTGGGGTGGTAGGTGACAACTAGGGGTATATGGTCGGAGGGCTTTTTCCCCCTGTATTGAAGTAGGTTCTCTCTAAGTATTTGGGGGTCTTGCTCCATGATGTGATCTGTTTCACTGGTGAAGTGTCCTTGTTTTGGTGAAGGCGTTTGGTGAAGGTGCATTAAAGTGTATATCCTGGACTTTCTCCTTGGCGTTTATTCTGTGGTATCTAAGGTGCCACAAGGAGGACTCCTTGTTAACACGGCTACTGCTCTGAAACCTGTCACCATGCAAGATTTCTTGGTGTGTTTGAGGGGGCTGCTAGACCTGTGAAGGTAAGTGTGGTGATCTGTGGTTTTCTTGTATATAGTTATCTGTCGGGTTGCACTGTTGAAGCTGATCCTGGTGTCCAGGAAGTTCATGCTGGTGTGAGATGTTCTAGAGTTTGATTGATGGGTGATGGTGGTGGTTGAAGTTGTGGTGGAAATCTGTGAGGGAGTTTAGGTCGTTTGTCCAGAAGATGAAAATATTATAGATGTATCTCAAGTGTATCTTTGGTTCTGTGGTGCATTCGTCCAGAGGTTCTTCCTCGAGGCAGCCCATGAAGACACATCAACTCAAAGTGGCACCAGCCCTTGCCATAACAAATGATGCGAACCCTGCAGACATATCTCCACTGCTACAATGATCAATATGCCCCATAACACATCTTTCTGGATTTTTGGATTCTACACATGCTTATCAGAACATGTGGTGCACCTCACCCAGTGCACTCAATGTCCCAATATGTATATGAAACCAGATTGCCACTATACTCTCAAATGAACTAGCACAGCAAAATGGTGAAAGAAAATAAATACCACATCACCCATGGGTGAATACTTTTCAGAAACGATCACTATTGCTGACCTCTCATTCCTCATTCTCAAAGGAAATCTGCACAACATCTTCAAAAAACGATCCTGTGAATTTACATTCATAATTCTGTTAGACACTACAAATCATGGACTTAAAAAGGACACTGGATTTATGGCTCATTACAACAATCTGCAATCCACCAACCCTCTTTTGTCCTATGACTGTAGAGGTGTTAACTGCCCACTTCATTTTAAATCAGTGGTTCTCAAATTTTTGTATTGGTGACTCCTTTCACATAGCAAACCTCTCAGTGCAACCCCCCTAATAAATTAAAAATACTTTTTTATATATTTAACACCATTGTAAATGCTGGAGGCAGAGTGGGACTTGGGGTGGAGGCTGACAGCTTGCGATCCCCATGTAATAACCTCACGACCCCCAGTTTGAGAACCCCTGCTTTAAATGGTCTCTTGCAACATGTTAACTCCTTATCTGTTCCACCCTTGCATGTAGCTGTGACACTCTTAGGCTAGGTCTACACTACCCGCCTGAATCGGCGGGTAGAAATCGACCTCTCGGGGATCGATTTATCGCGTCCCGTTGGGACGCGACAATCAATCCCCGAATCGGCGCTCTTACTCCACCAGCGGAGGTGGGAGTAAGCGCCGCCGACAGAAAGCCGCAGAAGTCGATTTTGCCGCCGTCCTCACAGCGGGGTAAGTCGGCTGCGATACGTCGAATTCAGCTACGCTATTCACGTAGCTGAATTTGCGTATCTTAAATCGACTCCCCCCTGTAGTGTAGATGTACCCTTAGGGCTTGTCTACACTGCGACAGTACTTAAAAAAGCCACACCCCCATCCCCCGTGAAAGACAAAAGTTTTGCCGATGCAAATTGCAGTATGAATGCGGCTCCTGCCAACAAAGCTAACGCCGCTTGCGAGGCTGGAAGTATTTTGTCGGCAAAAGTGCTGACAAAGAGCGTTTACACACGCTGACTTTTAGCGACAAGGCTGTGTTGACACAACCTTGCTGCTAAAAGCTGTGTAGTGTAGACAAGCCCCCCAGGCTTATTTCAGTATAACTACATTGTTCAGGGGTTTGAAGAATCCAAACTCCTTCAGGGACATAGTATTACCAACCTAATGCCAGCCGTAAACAGAGTGGGAGAGCCTCTCCAGTCAGCATAGCTACTGCTTCTGCAGGAGGTGGATTAACTATGCCGACTGGAGAAGCTGTCTCATCCTAGTAGCGTCTTTACTAAGGCCGTGGCTACACTCAAAACTTCAAAGTGCTGCTGCAGGAGTGCTCCCGCGGCAGCGCTTTGAAGTGCAAGTGTGGTCGCGTACCAGCGCTGGGAGAGAGCTCTCCCAATGCTGCAGGTACTCCACCTCCACGAGGGGATTAGCTTACAGCGCAGGGAGCCTGGCTCCCAGCGCTGGGGCACTGTTTACACTGGCGCTTTAAAGTGCTGTAACTTGCTGTGCTCGGGGGTGTGTGTGTGTTTTTTCACACCCCTGAGCGAGAAAGTTCAGCGGTGTAAAGCGCCAGTGCAGCCCTAGCCTAAAACGCGGTATGTGAAGACAAGCCCTGATACGTTCACCGGACCTGAAGAAGAGCTCTGTGGAAGCTCAAAAGCTTGTCTGTTTCACCAACAGAAGTTGGTCCAATAAAAGATATTACCTCACCCACCTTGTCTCTCCAATATCCTGGTACCAGCACGGCTACAACACTGCAAACATTATTGCCAAGGGCAAATCCCTTAAATATCTATTTCTTCATTTCCTAGCTGGCAGTACAGCTGTTTAACATACACTGAATATATGGTTTACTACTTACTGGTTTAGTTTGTACCAACAGACAAACATCTTTAAAGCTGTCTTTTATGACATAACTTAAAGGAAAAACAGCCCCACTGCCTTTGATGTCCTACGGTTTCCTGAAACATGAATCACTGCATGTTGATAGGAAAGTCTAACCACCAAGCCTGCAAAAAGAGAAAAACTGGCTTGAGTCTCATCTCCATCTGATTTGGCTTCGGTACATGTGAGACTGCTGAAGTCTCACTGATTAATTTATGAATTTCTTATCACAGTTAGGTTACACTTAAGCAGACTGTAATAGACCCATGAACTTCAGCAACACAGGGTACCAACCAGGAAATACGTGAAATACATTAGAGATATGTTCAAACAGAGTATTTCTTTGATTATTTTAATATTTAATGTACAACAGTCACCACAATTACAAATAACTGTGGACTTAACATATAAGGGAGAAATAACTCGGAGAGCTCACTTGTAATAACAGAAAATGCTGCCTTGATACTTTACTCCTAGCAATTAGTTTCAAGGGGAGATAAACTTTTTTTAAAAGAGGTAGACCATGTTTTTGAGGCAAGTTAGTTTCTGGAAAGAAGGCATGACATGTATAAAAACAAACTGTCATACCCTAAAATAATATTAGGAATTAATTAATTTCTTTCTGGTTTCTGTGGGGCACCTGTGAGATCAATGACAAGAACCTTCTTTATAAACCAAATCTGCAGCTTCATACAATGATGTGCTAATGGCTGCTTCCTGAGCACGTAGGTAGCAAACCCAGTGTATTTTTATGGCCCTTGATCATATATCAGAGATGATCATCAGCTAGCAAAGTTTAAAGGACAAAAGGGAAATTCAGCATAGAACAAATTAGTGACTGGTAATGGGAGTAGGTCAAAAAGCAAGGGGTACTGAAATGGAATGGGATATAATAGTGTTGAATTGTGTTTTTCAGTTTTTGTATATTTTCTCCATAATTGCCTAATTTCCAGTTTGCAACAGGAACCATTAACACCAAGCTGCTAAAATTAATTGGGCTCACTGCAGAATTTAGGGCAGCCCCTCCTACTGATTGCTGGGGGATGGGGTGGAGCAGTAGTGGGTCTGAGTGGAAAGCAGAACAGGATACAGACTCTGGAAGCAAGTAGCTGTTGGTGGAGTCAGAAATGTGGACCCGGAAGTTGGGTTTGCCATAAAGACACTTTTGGCATGTTCAACTTCCAGCCTTTTATCTCGAGAACATGAGGAGTGATAGCCTGTGAGATTCAGGGCTCAAGATCTGGATGACAGTTCTAATTGCACAGGCAGTAGTACTGGGGCTCAGGGTGTTATGTATCCCTGAGAACAGTGTGCCTCTGTTTTCAGGACCTGTCCTAGGTAGGTTTTTTTAAAAACAAAATAAAACAAAAAAGTGGTTGGCATTGTTCTTTTGTAAACTGGGTGCCTGATGCACCTGCAGGCCAGCTCAGTCGATGAAACTGAGCACATACGTACCAATCCCTCACTATGCTTATCGCATATTGCCCTCTTGCCCTGCCCTATTTGGCCCCACAAGTCCTCCCAGCCAATATAAGCTTGCCTGCCCCATCAATTGCCAGGACTGTCCTGTGCACATTTCTCTGACATCTTACCATTGCTTGCGCTGCCCTTTTCCTGGGGATAGCTGTCCTTGTTTTCTTACTGTGAGGATCTGTTCATTGTACTCAGGGCAAGCCCACTGCAAACAGATAGAACTCCTCCTTGTGACAAACAGAATACCAGAGATGCAGGCAGGAAAACATAAGGACAGTGATTAATGCAAAATAACAGGTTTTTTGCAGGAGAATATCTGCAGCTGCTTCTCTAAATGGCAGATTCCAAAGCCAGTACAGTCGCTGTAGAATTGCAGAATTCAAGTCCCTGCATAAAGGTAACATGGTGGCCCTTTGGATAGAACCATCTTTTCCTCGCTAAAATGTCTCCCTCATTGTCATTTGAAACCTGGAAATCAATTGACCTAGATCATTGTAAGGATTTTCAGTTCTATGAACACAGTTTTTGCCCTCCTATGAAGGACCAAAAAGAGGGATAAAATCTCTAATACAATTTTAGACATATTTATGTATTTCTGAGGCAGAAGGGAAACTGATTCTGTCTTAAGAATTTAAATCCATTTGATAAGAGGCATGATTCTGTCTTTGGAAGAAAGAGATTTTCAGATCTATACTTTGGTCATCTTTGCATTGTTTTTTTCTAAGCATTTCATGTAGGGAACCCTTTTCTCTGTAAATATGGCCTTCTGACATTGTGTCCCGAGAGCTGTGGTTCCTTCCTAATTCCCACTTTTTCTTTTGTGTATGTTTGTGGAGTGGGGGTGGGGGAAGGACTGCTATGAAAAAGCCTTCATTTTAGACTGGTGGACTTTTTACAGGAAATCAGATGATTGTATCCAGTATTTTAGACACTCTTACATCGTACATACAGTTTCTTAGTAGTAATCTAATCTAATTTTGATGTGTTATTTACACAATACCTATCATTGTGGTATCTGAGCCTATCCAGTAGAAAGCACTTTAATCACATATTGCATTGTAGCCACATACACGCTTTTAAAATAAATCCATGTGATGTACTCTGATGCATCCCGCAGCACCCCGGGCTGTGAGTCACCTTGTTGCTACCTGCCTCAGGGTTGAGGGAGTCTTGCCTGTGCTGGCTGGGTGATAGCTTCCTAACACAACCAGCCTGTCAGTCACTTAAGCACTCTCCTCTGGACTATAACAGCCCTGCCTTTGCCCTGCACATTTACAGTAAATGCACCCCAGCCCCAGAATCCATCCAACCCCTGATCACTAGATATCCACAGAAATCCCAGATCCTCTTCCCAAAGGAAAAGTCTACCCCAGTTTACCAGTGTTATCTTAGCCCACCCAGCACTTGAGTTCAATGATAGTAAAAGAAAAGGAAATTTACTTAAGAAAGAGAAGAGATTCAAACAGAATCAGGTGTGAGTGATGGAAACAAAATGTTACATGTAAAACAAAATCATAAGATATGAAATGGGGCATACACTTACTAATAGTTACTTTTCCTATCCAGTTAGGGAGATTCTCACCCCAAAGTTCAGTCTTTTGCAGCAGATGCTGGCCACAAGGAGTCAGGACTGAAGCATGAAGCATCCCTGCTCATCCAGGTGCCTCCTCAATGAATGGGTGCAGAGTCTTTCTCCACCCTATGACATACTGAATTGGTGTTTTGTCGTTATGCACAGACAAGGCTATCCCCTTGCTGTCCTATCATTCTTTTCACTTCCAGGGGGTTTTGATGTTTATCGTTTATTTTTGATGGTTTTCTATTGACTTTTGTGGGTTGTTGCAACAATGAACAATTAGGTAATTGGCTAGCTAGGGAGATGTGACAACTCTCTCCCACCTGAATGGGCCATTACAGAGACTTCTGATTCTCTGGTGACTCATTTTCACTCCAAGACCAGAAGGGCGTAATTGTCAATATATTTATATTATTCCTTAAATATTATCTGTACACACATCAATGATTATGAGAATTGATAAGTTACAAGCTTTCAGTAGAGACCTCACATGCTAATCTTTATGGATAAATACCATGAAAAGGGTTAATTAGGTGTAGTAAGTTTGTCAATTCTATGATAGGAGTTGCTTGTAAAGAATAGTGAACCCTTCGCCACTTGGCAACAGTTTGCCACTATGTCACATTTACCAATCCACACTTTAAAGAGAAAAGCCAACATTTTCAGAAGTGTGTGTCTAAAGTCAGACACCGAAGGACCCATAAGCTAATTTTCAGTGGTGCTGAGCACCCTTAACTTCCCCTGAAGCCAGAGAGAGCTGTAGGGGCTCAGCATTGTTGAAAATTAGCCTGCTTGTCTTTAAGTCCCTAAATACGGATTCAGATTCTAACTTTGGGTACCCGCATTCGAAACTTTTGGCCAAAATGCATAATTTCTATGTATAATTGTTAATGTAAAATGTTAATGAAGTATATGAAACAGCAAACGACATTAAAATCTACTTACTTTGTCTCTTACTCCTCTGTGTCTTTAAATTACATCAGAAATGAACTGAGGCAGAATCCTTCCTTCCCTTTCCAATTTTACTTTCTCATTTAGCTGGGTAGAACAGGAACAAGCAGCAACATTTCCCCAGTCCCACAAGGTCCAATGCTCCAGTTCTTCTTCAATGCATTGTAGTGCCTAGTGCAGGAAGGATAAAAATGTCTCTCAAATGAAGTACTTTTGAGGTGTGGGGGATATTTCATTGCTTTCAGGTGTGCTTGGAATCCCTTTTTAATGCTCCCTGAGGTATCTTAGAGCATATTTGTATAAAGATGGTTGTTTTTCATGTTTAATTGCATAGTGGTTAGTTTATTTATTTATTTCCCCCCACAGACTCTACCAACTCCAATGTCTTTTCTACTTACAAGAACTTCTAGAACTAGTTAAACATGTCAAATTCTGATCAATTGAGAGGAATTTAATTTAATTTAATTTAATTAATGGAGATATCCCATCTCCTAGAACTGGAAGGGACCTTGAAAGGTCATCGAGTCCAGCCCCCTGCCTTCACTAGCAGGACCAAGTACTGATTTTTGCCCCAGATCCCCAAGTGGCCCCCTCAAGGATTGAACTCACAACCCTGGATAAAAGACACTTTTTCTGTGAAATATGTTCACATTTTTTGACCATCTTTACCTAGAATACAAATATTTTTCCCTCCACAGTTTTCTACTTATTTGACTTGCAAATTATGAGATGACTGACATTTATTTATAATGTCTTTATATTTATACAAAGAATAAAAAGAGTTGCCTAGTTTATGCTCTAGGTGTCCTTGGCACAAACTACAAAAACACCTGCAAAACACCAGATTCCCTTCCCCCACCCAGAAATCTGACTGATCTTTGTAATTGAAGATTCCTTGAGATGCGCAGTATCTGGACCAGAATTTTGACAAGGCAGAATCCCTCCTACTTGCTTCATTATGTTTAAGGAGGACCATGTAGCAGGGACTCAAGATTATTATTAGAAGCAGCCTCAAATATACTGTCAAGGGAAGATAAAGTGTTTTGCAATTGATTATCCTTTGAATGGAGAGGATTGCAGATTGTATTTGTTCCCTCTCTATATCAATAATGAAAAGGTGACTCTCGTGGCAAAGTGAAGTTGATTGGTTGCTTAAAGTAAATTTTCAAGAAGAGACGGTGGACATTTGTATCCAATAAAGAGCAAAATATGTACAATTCATTAAATACTATTGGGGCACTACTGCTATGGGAAGTTGGTTTTCCAGCTAGCTTCTTTCACAAGTTTGTGCATAGTTCATGCTCTTTTTCTCTCCAGTGTAGCCAGTTGTTGGGTACAGTTAGAGAAGGGATAGATTCTGATCTCAGCTGTGTGTGCAATTTGTTACTTGAGACTAGTGTAACTGAGATCAAAATCTATCCTGGAGGGTGTTGTCAGCAGTGAAAGTGCAGTGTGTGGTTTGTGTGTGTGTTTTGTTGGTTTGTTTAGGGATTTTTGGTTGGTTAATTGATCATTTTACAGTCTACTTAATCAGAGCTTTAAACTCTACTTGCTCATGGCAAGCAGCAGGTTTTCCCAGGTGAGAGCCATCAATTTCTGCAGAATCAAAGTTTTCATTTTATAGATATTTAACCCTTAGAGACATGAAGATAACTTTCCAAATGTGAACGAAGTATAGCTGATGCACTACCCTCTTCCTAAGTCTACAAGTAGAAACCTCTAGTGCCACAGTTGCTGCTCACACTTTTACATCCTGTATCAGAGTAATGACCAGTTTTAGCTGCTGCTCTTCAGATCTCTGTGGGCAGCAGTGAAAATGGCAAGCATCAGGTCAATTTCACTTCATTGCAGGGTAGGGAAGCTATAACAAACAGCAGAGGTAGACAGTGGAATTGATCAGTGGTAAGAAGGACCCCACAAAATGGAAACTTAAGGGAGGGTTAGAGTAGCAGAAACTAGTAGATAATAATAATCATTAATAAAACACCACCACCACATACACCCCCCATTTGCAGCAAGTAGAAAGCTTGGGGATGGGTACAATAGCTGAGAGACATCCCCAATTCCCATTGCAGGTTCTGGGGTGGGAGGGAACCAACGAGAGAGAGAGAGAACACTCCAATCTTCAAGCAGCATGGAGAGGTTTAAGTGTACAGCTTCAAATTTATCAGGCACCTTCTAGAGGGAGACCTCTATAAAACATGAAGCCCCTGAGTGGAGTCTAGGAATGGCACCCGGGTAACAGTTTCAGCAGTCTCCTCTTTTCCCAGCTATGCAGAAACTGGGGTGGAGGCAGGCTTTTGACTTAGGTGTTGCCTCCAGACAGTGGGGCTCCCAGTTTTTGTATCTATGTCTAGTAGATTTAGTCCTCCCACTCTAAGTGTTTGCTGAAGTTTCCAAGCTCTGTGTCAGTAACTGGATGAGCTGAGAGTAGATGCCTGCAGATAGGTGGGAGAGAGAGAGAGAGCAGAGATATAAAAAAACAGAACCACAGTATAGGGAGAAATTTGCAGGGAGGTGGGAAAAGAAAGAGAAAATGGATAGGAAGAGGTAGAGAACACAATGTTAGGATGTAGTAAGAACAGCAGATCAAATATTACTCTGTGAATGGATCTCTTGACAAATTTCACTGGTCACTGAACAGTTTATCTAACAAATACATGTTTTGTGGTTGTGAACAAGCCAGCTGCCTCCAAGCACCTCCCTCTACCCATGGCCTGACATCATTCTTCAGGCACTTCAGTTTCCCTCTTCTTCAGCTCAGGGTTCCTTAAACTATCCTTAAATCAAACTATCAGATGAGCTCTTCCCTGGTTCATCAACACCTCACCTTGGGGGTTAGTTTATTAACATCAAACCATTCCCAAAATAAAGTTTTCAGAATCCCCCTCAAGTCCATACTTCCAGTCTTTCACACTGGTGGGCTCCCAAGCCTTCCCTGACTGAAGTCTTTTCCCCAAAAACTCAGGGTTCCCTGTGGTGCCTACTTTCCCCAAAAATATCTCACTCACTCTTACTCTTCCTGAATATGCCTGCCTGCCCCTCCTCTCTCTCTCTCTGCAACTTTTTGCTGCTCTTCATAGGAGAATCAGCTCCTCCATCCCCAGCTGGTTCTACTAATATAACCCCACACCCCATCCCAGATGTTGTAAGCAGGGCTAATTGGACAGGCCTGGCTAGGTCTAGGCCTCTGCCTCTTAAAGAGACAGGTCACCTCACTACATATCTTTCCTGCCTTGAAACCTTGCTTGGCCCCTGGGCAAGTTCTACAATGTTTATTTCTTCTGTTGTCCCTTGCTAGTCTGTTTTTCCAGCATGGGGGGAGGAGAGCAGGGCAAAGCAGCTGTACCACACTGTACCTCAGGATTCAGGTCAGGGCCGTTAGATTACTCAGTGTAGAACTGTAGAGAACTACACAGTTTTTAATGTTACTTATTTTGAGTAACTATCTCTGATTGCTGATTGAGTTGGCATGGAAACTGAATTACCATTCGTTTTTTAAAAGGATAGTCCATTCAGACTGAGGTTAGTCATCAGCTGGCAAAGTGAAAAGACTTACATTGCAGCTGTTAACACTTATACCTTGCCTCTGAATAAACAGAATACTTGAGATGCTAGCACTGGTATTCTCAATCACTTCTATGAGAATAAGTGTTCCTCCACAGAAAACAACACTGCGTGTTTTGGGGGAAAAGTGTTATTTCATAATCTGATATATACAGTAGGACTCTCATTTCCAGAAGCTTCCTTATGGATCAGTTGAATGCAAATAGTAACAGTTTGTGTAATCAACACACACAATGCTTATGCTATTATATTTGATGTCCTTATTTAAAAGGCTTTTAGCCTGGCCCTTGTTTTTAACTGGGACTTTGTGTGTGCATAACCAAGATGGAACCCTTTGGTGTATGCAGAAAAATCTACAGCTAAGCAGAAAATGGCATTTGCAATTACTTTTTCTCTCTTCTCCCTCCACCCCCCTTCCTGTGAATGAAAACATTGAAGAGGAGTTCACTTTCATCATTTTCTTTTTCTAAGAAGTAAAATGGAAGCAGAGATACTGCTGCTGGTTTTCCAAACCAGCTAAACTGAGGGAATACTGATGTTAAAAAAGTTGTTCAGTGACATTTTATAAATATGGCATCTCATTCTCAGACACAGAAGGGGAAGTGTATATTTAAATTAAGAAAAGCTTGAGTTTATCCAAAACCTTTGACTCTAGGCTTCTTTAAATCCTCAGCACACAGACAGCTTCCTTCCTTGTTAAAATAGGAGCCCTTTACCTTAGGGTAACTACTTGTGCTCTAAGCATGTTAGCTATCAGATCGATGCGGGCACTGATTTTTCTCTTCTTCATGTTAACCAAGCAGATAATCTAAGTGATGCCTTGAAGAAGCTGAAGATAACAGCCATTGACAGCACAGCAGATAGCTTGGAAGGATGCTTGGATTGCCTGCTTCAAGCCCTGGCTCAAAACAGTAAGTTTTATTGTCCCTTCAAATTTTGCATCATATGATCACATCAATAAATGATGGAGGTAGTACTGTAATGTGAAGCAATGCAAGTAACACAATCAATAGAATTGCTGGATTGGCTGTTTTATTAAAAAGAAAGTCCCATATAACTTGTGTGCGAATCAGATAGTGACAAAGATTAAAAAAAAAGATAGTGAAAGCCATGGACATTCACAGAGCTAGTCCCTGGCATATGGAGTAAGTTACTTTTCCAATTGTAGTCTACATGCAGAAAGCAAAGGGCAAGGTATTTCTCTTTCAGATCAAAAACTTGTGCACTATTGTGCTTGGGTAGCATGAGCATGGCATTCAGCACTTTCACTTACTCTGAGTAAAGGTGGCACAGGTTGCCAATATAGCACATTATTTTCCTTACATGTTTGATCACACATTAATTTCCATGATGTTTTCATTAGAAGGGAAAGATTGGATTTCTAAGTACACTACAATCTTAAACACATTGGTTGATGACAGAACTAACATTGTGAAGAGGAAAATGAGATGGCTTTTGTTCCCTAAGCTCTACAGGGTCCTGTTCCACAAACAGAAACATTTTAGGGAAAATGGAGACAGCAGTCTATAGAACTTGTCCATCTCTAACTTTCTGATCATGGGACGCTGGCAGAAGATGTGAAGGAAAGATCCATGTAAGGTTTC